ATCCATAAAAGAGCTCAGAACAATACAAAGGGCTTGCTTCAACTTAGAAATTAGTGGTTATTTTCTCCCTAGAACATTTTTTTTTTACCAGAGAATTTAGACTTAACTATATATACTGTGTGAGGTTGCTGTGGCTTGACAAACGTTATATCATTTTTCAGTTTTTACTTTACGGAGGGTTTTGTTTTAGATAAAGGGAATCTTCAGTTTAAAAAATCTTTTCTCTCGCTTCAAAGAGATGAACTTCTGAGCTGCAACCCTCAGGAGCTTTCTTTCTATTCCTAATGTGTGACACACTCTTAATATCGATTCTGTCATCAGAATAAACTGCAAAGCCCAAGTAATGAGAGTTCTGGACATTTCAGAATCATGTATTAATTTGTTTTTCATTAAAAAAAAAAAAAAACAATAAGCATTCATCTGTCCAGACATACTTAAGTGTGTTTTGCATTTTCTGCGGTAATAGTGAATTTTTATGAGTATGTAAATTAACATGTCAGATCACATTTGGAAGAAATCTGGGATGCTTCCTGGAATGCTCCTGAATTTTCTTATGTGAATTAAGTACCAATTATGTATGGGCTACTGGCTTCTGTCTCTTCATGAAGGCTGTAGCAGTCTTTGAACATAAAGTGAATATTTGTCAACAATTCAGTGAAATAATTTTTTCTAATGAAAAATTTTAGCCTTGATAAAATATGAATAAGTAAATTTAGTCAGTTGTAGTCATCAAAGCTGTATATATATATATCCAACCCCCAAAATGATCTCCTTTTGGCAACAGGCTCCATTTCGCATCCATTCATTGTTCAAATGGCCAGTTCTCTCATGAGCATTACAGTCCCCAAGGGGACCGCTCCTTCCATGCCCACCTAACTCTAAGCCTCTTCCTTAGTTTTGGATCCCATGGTCCTATACTGTTCCTTACTTAGTCTTTTTCTCCCTCTCTGGTAGTGACTCACAAACAGGACTTTTAGGTTTCTGTATCTCAAGCTATCTACCATGCTTCTGTTAGTTAATTCTGCAATCAGAAGCTTCAGAGTAATGGAAGAAATCTTGCAAAACGAGATTTTTTCATTCCAGGCACTGTGCAGCGAATTAAGTCATTTAATCCTTACAAGATCCTTATGTAGTAGGTATGGTTAGTTTCTCTGTAATTCCATAACTTGGTAGAGAAAATGACGACATTTGGGAATCGGGATGTGAGTGAGGCAGACAGTGCTCAGAGTGTCTAGAACAGGTGATTCTCTGAACATTTTTACACAGTTGTAATAATTTCATTGTTTTTTCTCCATTAAAAAAATGAGATGCAGCACTCATATCTTGATGAACTGTAAAAACGCCTCTTTCATTCTTACCTCTTCGCGTGCCTTCTTCTCCCCTTGTCTTGAATTGCAGTCTCTGACACATGAGCATCGCCTTGAAAGCCACATTCGGTTAACAGATATCAATGTGACAAGCAAGAAAAAGAAAAGCTTATTATTTCTCTTCTCGTTAAAACAAACATCATTAATAATACCCTTTATGTTTTTTTCATGGGTAGAGTGATCAGTCTGCACATTCATACATTCATTCATTCAACAAATATTTGTTAAGTGCCTTCTAAATGCCAGCCACTTTACTCTTCAGGGAGGGTGCAGAGACAAGAGAAGAATCCTGCTCTTCAGGAGAACATAGATGCATAAATAATAAAAAGCAATGCAGTAAGTTAGATGCAGAAATATTAACCGAGTTCTGTAAGGCCACAGAGGAGAACCACTTTTCCAAATGATTCTCCTAGAGAAATCAAGGAAAGCTTTTTATACATGAGGAAACGGAGGTCAGATTTGGTCACACAGCTGCTTAGTGGTTGAGTTCGCATTAAAACCAGATCTGACGGCAAAACCACGGAAATGTGTCATAAGGAGGCACCCCTCTTTTCACTGTGTTGTTAGTTCCAGATGTCTATATTTAGGGTCAGGGTCCACAGCTGCCCTTTTATTATCTCCCCATTTCACAATGCCACCAATTTCCGATTTGATCAAAGAGCAGGAGAGAGACCTGAGCTCTCTAGAACTGGCTTTGCCCCTATTTAACTAGGTGATCGTGGACATAGTTTTCTTCTTTTCTAGGCCACCTAGTCCCCATCTGTAACAGCAAGGAGGCTGAAATAAATCTCTGACCTTCTAGTTTTTTATATTTAATGTGTAGTGGTTTGCTCCATTTCCTTGGGAAGTCTTGACACACCCTGGCTTTGTCAGAGGGTTAGGTGGGAATCAAGAGAGAGGGCTCCTGACTACCTGCATTTGATCTCAGCTCTGTCACTTACACACTGTTTAGTCTCGAGCAAACCACTCAACCTCATTGAGCCTCGGTTTTCTAATTTATAAAATAGACATAATAATAACTGACTCAGAGCCGATGTGAAGATTCAGTGAGCTTATGTGTCTAAACTACTTTGCACAGTGTCTGGTACATAACACTCAATAAACGTAGCTAATGATACTAATGATTATTGTGCTGGTACTGTTTTGGAGTACTGAAGCAGTTTTAGAAGTCAAAATATCACAGTAGCTTCTTTAATTAATCATTCCTTAATAAAAGCACAAATGAATCTATATGTCCAGGCACAGAATAGAGAATTTTAGACATTTTCCCCTTAGATGTAGGGGTTAGAACACTGTTTTGCTGCTAAACTTTAGGGGAGACACAGAAAAGACTTCCATTTTTGTATAGTTTCGTATAACATAGGGTGAATCATTCATCCTTTTCCTTGCTGTGCTCCCAGTTCTCAGGACAGGCCACAGCACAGGGTAGGTACTGTGCAAACGTTTTCTGAAAGAATAAATGTTTTCACACTTTGTATTTAAGAACTGGGGAAAATAATAGCACTTTGCGGTCTTTTGGCTCTTAGATCTTATCCTGTGACATTTGTTGAGTTCATTTTGAGGGGATTTGGGGGCATCCCACGACAATCAAAGCAGAATTCTTCTGATACCGATGTTTGGCTTTCTCCTTTAATCAATAGGCTTATTATTTGCCCTTGAAACCTCTGTGATGCTGAGGAATCACAGGCATTCCTCAGGATGATTTACACGGTAATAAATAATCTGTGCTGTCCATTGCTTGCTTCATCAGTGTCTGCCCTGTTCATAAAACCCTGGAGGCTCAGTGGCCCCAAGGCTGGAGCACAGTGGACGTTAACTCCATTACAGATGTATGCACGTAGAACACGTCGGTCAGTGTTATTGTTGCTTTCTTGCTCTAATACGTAGTCCCAGTTTATCTTTAAGGATTGACATAACTGTAGAAGTTATTTTCCATCTGACTATTATAGTTACCATCCCATTTATTATTATTTTTTACTTCCATTGTATGATAGGCACTGCATATTATCTCATCTAATCCTCATGCCCACCCCTGAGTTAGGTGATCATACTCTTTTTATAGAAGGGGGAATTGAAACTCAAGGAGGTAAAGCTTATTCTCTGAAATCACATAGCCTTTGATTGATGGAGCTTAGGATTGAACCCAAGTCTCTCTGGAAAAGCTCTTAGCTACTACACTATGACATTTTCCTCATCTAAACGGCTTTCTTCTGCTTCTACAAGTGTTTTGTGTTTAAGTTTGTAACCTCTCATGAAGATCTGTAAGTTTCCCATACCATTCAGAGATGAATTTTGAATTTTTTAATGGCATCGCAAATACATGAAATTTATAGTGACACATATAGCCAGATTACTTCCTTGTTATCCATCCATTTAGCAAATTTACAGTTCCCATTAATTTTAATCTGCTCTTATTACCTGTTTTATGTAATAAATATCTCTTAGTCATGACAGACTGAGTATAGATCACCTGAAGTAGGCTCTCTCTCAATAAGCAGAGTTGCAGCAAAAGATTTGTGAATTAATTGGGAAAATTGCAAATCAGGTAGTCAGTGAAATAATTCATTGTCACATCCAATCAATAAACTTTGTAAATCAACTCATTTAATTCAAAAAATGATCTATATAGATCAAGCAACCAATTAAACAATTAGCATACACTTTGCAATTAATTAATTTAAGCATCAATCATATAATTAAAACTCCAAATTTAAGCTGCAGAATTTAGAATCCCATCGCTTTGCGAACTATTAGGTTCATACTTCTGAACACTAGCAGATTTGCAGTTTCACGGTTCAGCTTCGGAGCAGGGTATCTTAAAGTGTTTTACGTTGATTTCAGTTTTAAATTGTCTTTATGTTGATATAGTTTCCCTCCCTTTTCAGCCAATTGACTTTTGACTTAACCCAGAAGTAAACCGGGGGAGGCTAGAATCTGGGATTACTGACTGGGCATTCCAGGGAAGTGAGAAAAGGCCAGAAGTAGTTGAAGGGGCCCAGATATCTGCGTCAGGACAAATCAGGTCATTTGCTTTTACTCTATTAAGTATCCTTGGTATTTGGAATCGGATCCTGCCAAGTGAGTCTGATTTTTTTTCAGAGAAAGAACTGTGTAGATTGTCTTTGTTGCCTCGGGTACTTCTCCTGAGCTAGAGCAGAAATTTTCTTACTCCTGACCATAAATCAAAGGCCTCTGATTCTCCCAAAGTAATTTTATTCCTCTTTTATAGTTTTGTGTATCTTTTATGATTTATTTATTTTTATTTACATTTATATTATAGCTAATATAGTGCTTACTTCCCCCCCTCCCCATATTATAAACTTCCTTGAGGGCTGATAGTAAATCTCATGTTTGATCAAAGGGCTCCTGTGTCTTATCGACAACAGGTGCTCCAAAGGTTTTGTTGGAAGAACAGAGCAGCGTCAAAGCTCTTGTATCACGTTGTTTTTCTCCCAGTTTGCACTGCCATGTGTCTTCTGATTATTAAATAAAGTAGGATTTGGGGGCTCCGAGGGTATCCAGGCTTTGGGATAAAGAACAGCAGTGTCCCGGGTTGCTCGCTGCATATCACAGCCCCTGGTCCCTACGTCCCTTTCTCACGTGGAATGCACTCACTTTGGGTTTTCCTTTCAGTGACAATGTCAGTGCCTACTGCCTGCATATTGCTGAAGATGACGGGGAGGTTGACACAGATTTCCCCCCGCTGGATTCCAACGAGCCCATTCATAAGTTCGGCTTCAGTACTTTGGCCCTGGTTGAAAAGTATTCATCTCCTGGTCTGACATCCAAAGAGTCACTCTTTGTTCGAATGTGAGTATTGACTCCTTTACTCATCTCAATATCGCATCTCTCTACCTTCTCATGTTTTGGATTTGACTTCAGTTTTGTTCATCAAATGAATATTTGGTATCTGGAGAGTCCACATGTAATGATTACTTCTAGAGAGATGCTGGGGGACAACATTCGAATTATATTTTGTGCCCCGTGCACCTAAATTAAATACGATGGCTTTGGAGTAGCAAATTATTTTAGGTAATCTCTGAACCTCCATCGTGTCTGTGAACCAGGCCTCTGGATATATTGGGGCACTTTGGAGTCTGTGAAGCAAACAATCTCTTCAAGGAATCCAAAGTAAATGAAAATGTGTATTGCAGCCACTTCTCTCTTGTGACTTAAAATACTTCTTTTTCTCTCCCACCTCGTTCAGAACAAATTTTATTTTTCTTCTCAGTTGCCTTCCTGTAGACAGAGCAGAGATTCTTAACCTTTACTGCCTTCGGCAGTCTGATAAATCCTATAAGCCCTTCTCAGAAAAGTATTTCTAAATGCGGAAAATAAAATTCACAGACGTACAAAAGAATTTGTTATATTTAAATAGTTGTCAAGTTATTAAACATTTGCATTAGAGTAATATGTATGGCTTTATTAATACATTAAATAACAACACGGCAGCAGGTCTCACAGTAACTCCCGAAGCCTCATTTCAAAGTAGTGATTGTGTATAAATGATATTTGCAACAACCATAATGTGCTGTGACGATACCTCTGATTTCTGTTCATGACAGAATCACCAGTACTGCTAATACTACTGTGATTTGTTGAATACATTTTTAATTCAAGGAAATGCTAAAACCTCAGAAGTTAACGAAAATAAAAACGTAATTTTTATCTATTCAAGTCTACAGATAGCCTGCGTTTTACCCACAGGTCCTTGATATTAGGGGAAAACCAGCAGTAGCAGTGTTTTCTAAGCACAGCTTAAGCTTTTCTGACCAAGGTGGCTACGGTCCCTTTCCTGGCCATCTCCTGGGAACAATAGCGGTCCCTTTGGCACCCCCTGCTGTTAGTAACCAGCAGATTCACTACCCAAAAGCGATTGCTTTAGAGGACTTTGCCACCTGTCTCTTTAAAACATATAGCCTTTGTTTCAGATTTTTACTAAAAATAGGGTTATGCTACCTATGAAACATGAGTATTTTGAGTCTTTCTACCCTTAAGCAAAGAATGAATACTTCATTGCCTGCGGATGAGCTGGGGTGACTCCTCAAGCTTTTATAATACCCATTTCATTCCTACTATGAAGTCTTATTTGGTATATGTAACAGTGAATATTTTCCTCCTTTGTACATTTACATTACATTTTCCATTTCCATTTCAGCACTAAAACAACAGCTTTAAAGTACATTTAAAGTAATTTAAAAGCTATCCAGTGATTGCTCCATCCTAACATAACTGTTTTCATTTTTGAATAACCATTTCCATATGTATATATATTATACAGTTTCAGTTCTGGGCATACACATTATGTTATTTTTACTTAACATTCTATTAGAAATATTTTGATATCTCTTAATTCTTACAATCTACATGTATTATGCACCAGAGATCTAGCAGAGACAACCCCTGTTCTCATAGAGCTTATGCTCTAGTGGGGAGTCAGTAATCAGACAAATCATTAAAATGTGATGAGCAATACAACAGAAAATGTATGGGTGCAGTGGATGCTTGTCACAGGACATTTAGATTGTTTCCTTGTTTTGGTTGTAGTAAGTGAGACATGAAAACGGAAGCTGAGAGATATCGCTCTCAGGTGTGAATTTGAACCCATGCCTGACTTCAAAGTCCGTACTCTTTCCAACACCTTGCTGAGGGTCGGGATAGGGCAGTCTAGTGTTGGTCTAGTCTTTCAAGTAAATCTCACTGTCTTAACGCCGACATTCAGCCGCCACTACAGTGTAACAGGTAAAAGCTTGGTGACTTCTGGAACCACACTGCCTGGGTCCCTATCCTGACCTTACCTTTACTAGTGTGTGTGATCTTGAATGAGTTACTTCACTTTTCTGTGGCTCAGTGAAATGAGAGTCATAATAATACCTACCTCTTAAAGCTCTTGTAAGACTGAATGAATTAACCGATGTAAAGCACTTAGAACCGTGCCTGGCCTGTGTAAGCATTGTCTTAAGTGTTTATTGCAGTTATTGTTGTTATTAATAAAAAACTTTCGAGGGCAAGAGCTGGATCATTTGCGCCCCTCAACACCTAGCATAGCTCCGTTACTATCGTAAGTATGCCACAAATATTTTTTGAATGGGTAACTGAATAGATCTTTCTGCTACTTCTCTGCTTTTCTTCTTCCCCTACTTTCTGTTTACCAGCAGGAAAAGGGCAGAATTTGAGTGGATATTGCTCACAAAAGGCTGAATTGGAATAACTTTTGCTGAACATTGGCAGATATATATGTTGGAGATCTGCAGACATTCAAATAAGTCCTTTTATGGACAGACACCCTTTAAGATACCAGCAAGACATAAACTCCTTGAAGACAGAGAGGGGATGGTCTTAATTGTGTCTTCGCAGCCAGCACAGGGCTTCACAGAGAAAGAATGAATGAATCTTCAGGTGTTTGTGGGCTGCACAGAGGGCCCTTGCCCAAGCTTTCTGTCCCACCTCACTTTCTGAATCCACTTAAGCCCCTGTTCTTTCCTTTTGAAAACCATGAAACCTCAGGTTACTTTCTGCCTTTCAGAGGTCCTCACATGCTCACCCAGGAGGCTCTAAAATACCATCTTTCCCTGCTCCAAATGAGGCAGCACAGGCTTTGAACTTAGACTAACCTGAGTTCAAGTTTCAGCTTCACCAGTGACTTACTACATGACTATAGTCTTGGTTTCATCTGTGAAATGAGGATAATACTAACTACCCCATGGATTTTTTGTGAGGAATTTTCTTAAATGTAAGTAATATACAGACCTCTTTTAAAGGAAAATTAATTCTCCTGAAGCCTCCATGCTTGCCTGAATTAGTTTTATTACAATGTTACTTAAATACATACAAATGTAAAATTCTGGCTATAAATTCATGTCTTTATGCAACCCAAACAAAATTACCAATTAAATGCAGATAAAACTATAACATTAATAGAGTACAAATTAACAACTTTAATGCAACAGATAATGTTTTGCTGAAGTTAAATCGCTGATGTTGGGTTTTATGGGTGTTAAATGTTTTACTTGTCATCTTGAGTCTTGATATGAAACCTCAGATTACCATAGTATTATTTGTCCTTTTAAATAATGTATTTTTAACTACTAGTCCATTACTTTAGTGGGTCAATAGATTATAGTGCATCCTCCCCAAATTTTAAATGTTCTTTAAAACAAAGAACATTTCTTTAGGATGACCGTTTTATACCAGTTTGCCTAGGACTTGCCCTGTTTCAAAACAAACCTCACATCTTAGCTCACGCCCCTCAGTATTGGGTGAACCAGGATGATTGGGCACTCGACTTTGTGTTGCCGATTGGTCAGTTACGTAGGTCAGCTCTCTGTCTGTTCACACCTGTGCACAGTACGACTTGGGCACTGCAGGGCGTGAATTATTTAGCAATCAGAAAGCCTGTTGCTCCCTGTTCAGAGGTCAGCGAGCCTTGCAGCCACTTTTCCCATCACTTTTCTCTGCTCAACAAACTTTGCATGCAACTTGCAGTGATGTCATTTGGCCTTTACTAAGTCTGTTAGTGATATTAAATAACTCTAGCTGCTAGAACACACAGCCCCCCAAATCTCACCAACTTTAATCTCACAGGTGGGCAAACTTTTCTCTAAAGAGCCAGATTATAAATATTGTAGGAGCCATACAGTTTGTAACTCAACTCTGCCATGGTAGCATGAACATAGCCATAGACAATACATAAGCGAATGGACGTGGGCCACATTTGTCCACCCTGGCTGATTCTAGTAAGTTAGTTTCTTGTTCATATCTGTCTGATGAGGGTCAAGTGGCTGGCTCTCCTGGGTATTTGTCCTCTACGTCTTGGAGGGCTTCTCCAGCTGAGTGGAGAAGAGGAACATGGAAGACTGGGGGTAGCCTACATTTATATCTGTCACTTATATGTCATTACATATACAGTTGACCCTTGAACAGTGTGAGGGTTGGGGTGCCAACCCCCTGTGTAGTCACAAATCTGCATATATCTTTTGACTCCCCGAAAACTTAACTTACTAATAGCCTACTGTTAACCAGAAGTCTTACCAATGACATAAATAGTCAGTACATATTTTGTATGTTGTATGTATTATATACTGTAGTCTTACAATAACGTAGGCTAGAGAAAAGGGAGTATTATTAAGAAAATCATAAAGAAGAGAAAATACATTTTCAATGCTATATGTATATATTTATTGAAAAAAATCTGCATATAAGTGGACCCATGCAGTTCAGACCTGTGCTCAAAAGGTCAGCTGTACATCAAAACATATTCAGTTTTGCTTTTCAGGGAAAATCATTTATATGATTTTTATTTAACTAAATATATATCACATGTATATGTATATACATGTGTGTATATATGTGTATACATGCATGTATACATGTATATATGATTTTCATTAAACTGAAAGCAAAAATTTTAAATTTATAACTTAGAGTGTCTGTGATTTCATCTGATGACTCTGGAAGCCCTTGAACCTCAGGCAGGAAATGCTGCTCTGAGGAAATTAGCTCAGACCCGGGCATGTAGGAAGTATTACATAATTGCTATTTTTGTTATTTCTGTCAAATATATATCAGTCTGAATAATTCACACTAAGGTGTATATGGCATTTAACCTTTCTTTGGGTTACTTTTTATTACGCAGTAAATGCCCATTATAGAAAAACTTTTAGAGCTGTGTTTCTTCATAGAAAAGAAAATTGTAAACTTCTCTTTGTTTGATCATGCAAAGATAATGACTTATTATATAGTTATTTACATTTAAAAAGAAGAGCTTGTTAACATAAATGAATTCTCATTGGTAGAGTGTTCCATGGAGG